CGACCATGTTAGGGGTAAGCAAGTTGGAAGGGATGGTAGTCCTGGACATAAAGACTCTTAGGTGGCGTCAGAGCAAGTAGCGCAGTCTGACAGCTTATTCAGATTCTGGACACAGAGAGAATGTGATAGGAGATGTTCTGTCCAGGGGAAAAAACCTATGGGAGGAAGCAATGTCGAACAAAATATTTTACAGGTTGTGTCAGCTCTGGTGGGACTCACAGCCGCCATCAGTTTCTCAGCAGAGGCCATCACCAGCTCTGAGAACTTTACAAAGAAATATTTCTCCACAGTCTTCTTTTTCCATTATCACATTAAGCTGATGTACTCGTAAAAGAACCCAGCATCCCCAATGGCATGGAAAACATTGGTGATGATGTCAGATGGCAGAAATTTGCTTGATGAACCTTCTGCACTTATCAGTCTAGACTGACTTTCACTCAGTTAAACTGAATGGGTTTTAATTATCCTGCAGACTCAAGCAAGACTATTGCAAGAAAATCAATGGATAGTTCAGAAAAAATCTTGGTAAAAAAAAATCTGATAATTTCTGTTCTTCTGTGGATGGATAATACAAGATACTCAATTTCAGGGATCGTTCTTGTTTAGAAATTGAGAATATAAATGTACAAGTTACTACAGACTCATTCTGTGAATGTGTTCAATAGTCGAACACAAGAATTAACAGTATTCATAGAGATTTTATAACACTGATACAGTTTTTATTCTTAAAACTGTTGCATGCAGGATTGCATCGACTGTCAAGCAATGTAATTTGGTTGTGACAATGAAGAAAGAAGTTTTATATTTTCAAGTTATATTTAATAATTTTTATTTTTCTTGAAGATACATTACAGTCCTTTTATACTAGTCATCTGTTCCTAGATTAAAACGATGCTGTTCTACAGAGAAGCCTGGAGAGCAATGCAGGTCCTAGAGGAGTCTCGGACACCCACGCTGAGGAGTTTGCTTTTACCATTCCTCCAAGGAGGTGCCTCCTGTTTTCCTTTATTCTCAGGATCCGTGCTACTGTTAAAGAGGCAACAGCACATACAGAAATGCCCCCTCTATGGGATGCAGGTGTGAATGGCAAGCAAACGTGTTGAAAGAAAGTTGCAATACACTGCGCTAATGCAAAAACACATCAACAAAGCTACTGACTTTGGAGGTACTTAATCCCTTGGATATTTCTGACAATGACATGAAAATGGTAGATTTATTATACAGCAAGAAAACACAGACAGCAAAAAACAAAAGAAAAAGAAAGGAAAAATTCCTGGGAAAATCTGACAATGATTTATTAATAACTACAGAAAAGTCCATAACTCTATATTGTTTTACTGAATATAAGGCAAACATATCCAAGATTCACTAAGAAAAGTACAAAATGTATATCTTGCTGTTTATCATACTGCTTCCTTGTACATATCATTTATGGTTTATTATATCATTTTCAGTTTTGGATATCTTTTCAAGAAATACAGATTACTGCTGTTATGCTTATACCATACAAAATATTTTTTTTGTTATTTAAAAATAAAATGTGAAAAATATATGCTGCTTCAGGTGAAATAAACAGATAACTTGACAGATGTAGGCAAAACTATTAATTCCTGTAAGGCTTCTAAGTAGGGTGATCTCAAACTGTCCAAACTAGTGATAGGGTTTAAAGTGTCAACAACAGAAGTGGAAAAGGAGATGTAAACAAAACAGATTTATCTAAACTCATTCTATTGAAAGAGCAGCAGACATATGGAACAAGCTGCTTAGTAAGACAACTGATTCAGATAGCATAAGTAAGCTTAAGAGACAGCGAGATATTTTTTATGCAGAAAGTGGCTTGGAATTCACAGCAAGAGAATATATGGTTGAGGTAATTAAAATGGGACATGCTTATTTTAACACAAGACTTACTGTCCTGATAATTTTTATAGAGTTGATGTTTTTTTCCCCTTTCTTTCCATTAAGGCCAAGTGATGAGCTTTCATAAGCATTTCATAATGACGAATAATTTGCATTATCTTTCCCATTTGTGTGAATGTTTACAATCACCACCAGACCAAACTTGTTATCTGGAGCTATTTCCCCTGAAATCAAATATTTTAATACTAAACTTACAGAGGCTTTACCATCTACTGTTTTCACTATTTTAATGTAAATCATAAAGTAAGCTTGATTGCCTCCCATCCCATGATGAAATTAGAAGATATCTAATCTACAAAAATAGTTTTTTCGTAGAATTTCCTACTGCTCTATTACTGACAGAAGCACAATTGCTGCAGTTCTGCTGACACGATTTTTTTCTCAATATAACCATTTAATTTTCAAGCTATATCTAGGCTAGATTTGCTCAAAACTGTAGTTAAACTACTGGTACTGCTAGCAGCCTTATTACTGCCATGGGTAGTATTGTACCCATGACAATAGTGTTTGGAATTACATACAGAGGATGTCAAACTCAACTCATTTTAAAATTAGGAGTCTCAAGTCAAGATCCTGAATTCACAGTTAATCCTGATAGTTTTTTAAAAATGCCAGAACATCTAATAATTACCACTGTTCCAAAAGCAGAAGTTAAACTATTTTAAATATCTTTAAACAACAATAATCAAACCTGAAACTTTGCTACAGAATAGTGAATTTCCATCCCTTCACACAAACCAGAATGATGACAGAACGACAATTTCTGATACTGCTTCAGACACTGCTGTAGACAATTGTTTCTAGAAAGCTGACAATTTCCTTTTCCTGGAAAACAATTTTTCTCTAAATAAAATGCAATCTTTTTTCTATCCTAATCACATATATTTTTCACCCTCCTTCAACTTGTCTTATGACTAGATAAAGCAATTTTATTTATCTTCTTTCAAAAGAGAAAAGTTACTTTGGGCTAAGGCTCCTAAGAGTACTAAGCTCAACGACAAGCAATAATTGGGAACACCATATTGCACCACATTTGTAACTGCAATGATCTGTAACTCCGTAAGGTGCTCACTGCAGGTTCAACTTTCATTGCCAATGATTTCAATGCCAATGATTTTATTACAGCACACTTGAGACAGAAGAGTTTGTACAAATAAACAAATGGATGTAATTACCATTTGTAATTATATTGGGGGCACAAAAAAGGAAAAAAAAAGGGGAAAAAATGTAGTTTGTCTCTCTATCCTCATTCTTTTTTCTTTTTTTTTTTTTTTCTCAGTAGGAAAATTCACATAAACACCTGCTGCTGCAGTTCAGTGGCTGACAGTACTTAACATTCACAGTTCAACATATGTTTAATAAGAATGTGAGGAATTCATATGAGCCGCTGGAATAAGTTGTTTCTTGATGAATAGGGCCCCTCATCTAGATATAATGACAAGTGTAAACCTCAGTATAACTCTTTGCACTAAAATGAAAAAAAAACCAAAAAAAACAAAAAACAAAAAAAATAGAAATGATTGGTTTAATCTGCTTAGTAGAGTTTTTATACTTTGATCAGTATTGGGCTTCATGGTGCTGGACAAACCGCAATATTATGAATTCTCACCATACCATAATTTTCTAAAACCTACTATCATTTTCCTAAGGAAACTTTTAAAATTTTAGAACTGTTTTGTGGCTATACTTGGTAGATAGAACTCCAGAGATTTTGTCTTTTTCTTATGCAAAATGGAGAACATTAGACACACACTCAAACAGCTTCTTAACAAAAAAAAATCCTGTACTGCATCTTTATACAGATCAATGTCCAATTATAAGCAAAGAGTTGCTGTGGCAAAAGATCAGGAAAAAATAATCTTTCTGGCATTTATTACTTGGAAAATAAGGTCATATATAAGGTCAACCTTCAAATATATATAGAATAAATTATACTGCAGCACTCTAAATATTCTACACAGCAAAAATTATATTGAAATCTCAACATAATAGGAAAAATGAAGCTGAACATGTATTTCCTGACGACTGCACTACAGATCAGACCAGACTAAGAAGCAAAATCCCTAGATCAAATTTATCAATAATTAATAAAAAGCTTATGATATATTTCTGCTTAGTTATAAATATAGCTTCTTATTAAGGGTGACTTATTTAATAATCCTATAACTGTCTTTAACACTGAATCATCTTTCCCACAACAAACTAAAATAATAGTAAACACACAAAACATTTAAAAATAATTCACTGGTGTGCTTACAGCCTAGAAGCAAAACACAAACACACATAACGGTGGAGCACTCAGCCCGTCTGCTGCTTTAAAAAAAAAAAAAAAAGTGTCGCTTTTGAAGTAAAAGGCCTCATAATTAGATAAAACACGTCAGGAAAAAAAATAATTGGACACAGCCTTTGAGGAAATAAACATGCTTGTTTGTCAGAACTAATGCTTGCAGAGAGCACTGTCATTGTCCATATACAAGTCATTTCAGCTGTTTCACAGACATTAATCTTTGGTACCTTCACAGCATGTGAACGAAATTATACTGAAAATCAGATTATATTATTATTTTATACTTCTCACACTACTATTAATTGTGAAATCAGCATTACAAATAGGAAAATACATCCATGAAATGAAAACATCTTCTGATCCATTTTTACTCTTGTCTGATATCCCAAGACTCTAGTCTTCTCCAAACTACACGAGGAATATAAATGATTGGCGCTCTTTTATCTGTTGCAGTTATGTCTAGTTTGAATTTCCGAATCACACTTTGGCAGAAGGACTGTGTATAATGTATCACAGGCAATGCCGGTGGAGATAAAGTATATTCTAATCATTTTAGGAAAGTACTATTTTTTTTCTTTTTTTAATCTACTTTGGATACTTGCGGTTTCATTTCATGTTCATTCCAAAAGATACTGAGTGTTCTTTGCTCTGGGCTAGCTACAAGATTTACTGTTTTCTCTGATAGTATTATCAGTGGGCTATTCTACCCTGATAAACCACAACTGCAATACTAATGGGTTTATAATGACAGCTTAAACTCTACGCTTTTGTAAGCATTGGAGGCTTCACTCACCTTGTTCAAGTGGCTGGCTTTTAGTTGAAGTAGTTTTCATCTTGAGTGCCTCCCTAACAGACATGTCACAGCAGGAGCCTTTGTTAGTGTCTTGGTCACTGTCAGCCTGATCACTGTCCCCATGCCCGCTGTCCCTCAAGCTGGCTCTTTCTGGATCCTTGAACGTGGAGCTACTGGAGTACATATTTAAAAAAAAAAAAAAAAAGAGAGAGAGAGAGAGAGTTGTATTTACTTGTTCTAAGTTGAATTGTACTCTCTGGCAAAGCAATTTTGACAAGAATGCAAATGGGGAAGCCGAGAAAGTTATTTAATAGGCCTTACCTTTGAACAAACTGCTGCCTGCTGCCCATGTAATTGGGCTCTGCGGGAAAATTGTCTGTCTGTGAAAGAGAAGGAAAAAAATACGTATAGTTGTACACTGGACAAATCTCCTGCAGAGCAACAAGATTTCCTAGAGGAGAAATGATTAATAATTCAAAAATTCCCTTAATCTTCAGATTTGTACATTTTAATTAAATTGGAAAATGCTGGCATGTAATTATGTGCTCAGAACAATTAAATGATTCCGGTCCACAAATTACCTGCTAAAGTAAACAATGAGACTCCAATAGGTGGCATTCTCTGTTAGTAACCTGACAGATGACACTGTTTATGTTTTTTCATTAGTTAGATATTAAGACTGATGGATGTTGAAAATGAGAGAAAAAATTACTTTTGTATATTACAAAAGTGAATTATTCAATAATACTAATTCTTAACCATAATTACATCATCTGCTGGGATTCTGAGGTCTTCACTGCTGCAATACAATTTCAGATACTGTTATGTTACTCTTGAATAGAAAAAAAACCCACCAAAAAATCAAGAAAATCTGTGGCTGATTAGCTGTAGGATCTTTTTATATACTACTGGAGAAGTGCAAGTATGAAAATATTTGGGTTTTCTCTCTTTATTTTCATCAGTATTAATAGCTATGTCAGAATAATGAGAACCACACATGCAAACAAGAACATTAAATGATTGTTGTAGACAAGTAGCTTTTAAAAGAAGATACTTTCATTAAGTCTGTCATGAGTATATTTTTAGCAGCATTAGCTAAGTAACAGTAGAAGCAGAAGTATTTACAGCATCCAGACCACCATGGAGTCCTGCCAAAGGGAACTGAATTCCCCTTGTATCATCAGCTGAAGTTCTTTGGGAGAAAGAGAGACTGCATCTTTCACAAAACTCCATATACTGTACATTCACACACGTCATTTCTTCTTGCAGCTGACCTAGTGACAGAGCTTCTACTGTTTTCTTCATCACTTCATATCACACCACTCTGCTTCACAGCAGCTATGAGTTTTGCGACAGCACCGATCATATCGGTGTCAGTTACACAGGCAGTGCTCAATTAATGGAGCAAAAGGCCCAAGGTAAGGTTTATTGTCACACAACAAGTGTTTACATAAGCGACTGGTCTCAGATATTTGGTTTTCCCTGCCATTCCTGCCATTCCCCACTCCATTTTTTTTAGCTTTGTTTTGGTTTTATTGGTAAGTGGTAATTAGAAATATTTGCTACTTCTTGTACAGTTGTAATATTGGATCTTGGAAAAGGTGCATGAAGTTACATCTGAAATTTAAAAGTCATTTCTGTTTGCAACAGAAAATAGGTAGCCACCTGCCACTCTCAAGGTACATGTAAAGTAGGTGTGCTTATATACCATGGATATCTTGTGTGATTTAGGGAAGGAATAGAAGATAAAGAATTAGCTTCTGTTCCGCACATATGAAGTCAACTTGCGCTGTACTTTCTTATTGTTTGTAGTTAAATCCTTTGGTTCAAAAATTAGGGTTATAACACATACTGTGTTCACATTTTGAAGCTGTTTCTAATTTAAGCTGTAGAGTACATAACATTTGTACATGTCATTACAAAGACTATCTGATGTTTTATCAGTGAATTTTCTTTTGTGATAAACTGTGCGACAGAATCAGGTTTTACTTGTCTTTCAAAATTTACTTTCAAAATGTAGCATAAAGCAGCTATACTTATAATTCTAAATGATTTTTTATCATATCAAAAATTGCAGATAGTTTGGAAATCTGGGTGTTTGTGTCCAACTAGAGACTTGTTCTTCAGCGGCATTATTAAAAGATGGGCATATGAAAGCTCTTAAATACTGCCTAAGAAATGCAAACAATAAGCCATACTATAGAAGGAGAATTCTGAGGAACTGGGACATCAAACTCAGTGTTGTATCACTGCTTTTCCAAGTCAACATTTCAGAGGCTGATGATTTCAGCTACAGGTATCCAAACTTTTTCAAATATGGCCACTCCAACCAGGGGGCAGTTTGGTACTTTGCACTTGAAAACATACAAGATCCTGGTTTTAATACATGCAAAGCTTGCCTTAACTTTTAACATGTTTCAAGTTATAAAAAAAACCATTGAAAACAAAACAAAAAGGACTAAATGGAGGTGCAAAGATTAATATTTCAGCATTCTTCTATGTAAACTTCTAAATGTAGTACATCATATTTTGGAAACAACCTTAATTCTACCATTTATTCTTGTCATAAATTGTAAATTAGTATCTTTCCTGTGTGCAGCAAATTCACCTCATATATATACACATATAATCATTATGACACTTGCAGAGCCTGATAGTTCTCAGTCCAAATAAACCATATACAACTGCAGAACTTATGTCTATTTTCTAGGTCTAATATCTCAACTATAAATGCCCAGGAAAACTGACCTTATGTTTTTGATTACATAAGAAATCTGCCTGCTCCTAAACACAGCTGCTAATAGAATCAACATTTCCATTTTTCATGTCATTGTCAGGCAAAATGCCCACTATAAACTGCCTTTTCATCAATTCTCTGCCATTAGAAGAGTTGGACTTTTGCCCTGGTATTAATTATAGCACCTCCTTAAACGTGGTGTTAAGAACTTATCTATAAGCTGGACCACAGTAAGAACTGGTCATATTTTTTGTTTCTGCTCATAGCAAAAAAAAAAAAAAAAAAAGCATTTAGCACACCCTGCACTAGCCAAGATATAAATTTTAAAACAGAAGTTATGACCACATCTTAGCTGCCATCCTAAAAATGGAAGCTGCTTCTGAGAAAATCTGTATTTATGGTAATCATTAGTGACTTTTAACTCAATAATAATTTGACCAATTTCTTTCATATTGTGCTTTGTAGCAATATAAACAGTTGGGTGCCATGTTACAGTGAGTTCATTGCTGCAAAAGAACAAATGTAAATACTTGATAAATATACACAGCCACAGAGCTCAGAGTTGATTTTTTTTTCCTTCTGTTCTAAAAGCATTAGATCTTCTCCTATGAGCAATGAAAGTATGATGCTTGTGTTGAGCTGTAGCAGAACACTCCAAGATAAAGGCAGCAAAGAGAGAATTGCTTCATCTGTGATAATATCTATACAAAAAAAAAAGGGGTAATAAGCAAACATTTAATTTTAAAGCTAGGCAGTTTAGAGGAATCTTAGAAAGGTAAACATCCTCTTCACAACAGATTACAGAGAGATACAAATGTCTAACTCCTTTAAACACTTTTTTTTTTTCAATCCCAGTTGATGAGAGAGGTCATATACTTAAAATTTTTACACTTCAACATCTATGGAAGTGATATTACACATTTCAGCTCACGTATTGATCATACCTCTTTACACTGCATAGCTGTAACTCTAGGAAATGACTGCTACTTTAAAAATCTATCAACAGCAAATAAACTCCTTGTTCTTCTCTGGGCATACAACCCTTTCTAGGAAATCAGAACCACCATGTCTCTCTGATTACCTCTGATTTTAAGGTAGGTTTCAGTTCACCTGCAGATAACCATCCAAAAGCTAGTCCCCTTCTCTATGCAAATCAGCTAAGATCCTTCTATGAATGTCAGAAACATACCAGGTAATTCATCCCATTTTGGGCATCTAGCTTTAGGTACCTACTACTCCTGAAGATTACTTTCTCCAATAACTATAGGAGAATCGAGATGACCAGCAAGATTATCAGTGTAATAGCTAAAGCTAAGTAAGATGCATCATATCAGAAGTGAATTACATGGAATTACATTCTCCTGATAAATAACCAAAAATTACTCAAATGCCAGCACTGTTAACCTCTTGAAGAACAAAATAAAACAAGTTTCACCCTCACCCTCCCCCAGGAAACCCCCTAGAAACAAATCACCTTTAAAAGTCACTACAGTTAAATAGTAAAGACGTGTTTTCTGTCTCCATGATTCAAGGCTGGGGGCTGGAGTATTATTGAGGTCACCAACTACTAAGATACAAGTTCTTCAGTAGGAAGAAAACACGCTGAGAAAAAAGGTCTCTAAAACTAAAGCAAAAGCATAACTCTATTGCCCTGGTTAGATATCAGAGAATTAAAGTCCTACCTATTTTCCTTTTTTTTCCTTTTTAATCATAATCTCCATTACACCACAATTCTGACAATTTTTAGCAATCTTTTATGTATTCTGTACTGTTTGAATAAAATTAGAGAAAAATAAAATGAAAAGTTTTCAATTCAACAGGTCTCTTTCCTGAAAATCCCCCAAATCTTAAAATCAACACAGCTACAAAGAAAAAAGATGGAAAACGTGAGAGAGAGAAAGCAGGGTGGGGGAGAGAAATACAATATTCAAATATTCTTGACAAATTATGTCCAGAAAGAATTGTCGTATT